TTTTCATATGCCTGTTGGCCATTTGCATTTCCTCTTCAGAGAAGTTTCTTTTTAGCTCTTCTGCCCATTTTTTGACTGGATTATTTTCTTTGTTGTTGTTGCATCTCATCAGCTCTTTGTAGATTTTTGTGATCAGTCCTTTATCATTAGTGTTGGGTGCAAAAATGTTCTCCCAGTTGGTGGGGTTTCTCTTTGTTTTTGTTATTGTCTCTTTTGCTGTGCAGAAGCTCTTTAATTTGATGTAGTCCCAGCTGTTTATCTTTGCCTTCACTATCACTGCTTTGGGTGATGTGTCTGTAAAGATGTCTTTGATGTGCAAATCACGTAGTGTTTCGCCTATATTTCCTTCTATATATTTTATGGTTTCAGGTCTTATGTCTAGTTCTTTAATCCATTTTGAGTTGATTTTTGTGTATGGTGTGAGGTAGTGGTCAAGCTTCATTCTTTTGCATGTAGCGACCCAGTTTTCCCAGCACCATTTATTGAACAAACTTTCTTTGCTCCAATGCATAGTCTTTGCTCCTTTGTCAAAGATTAGTTGACCATAAATCTGTGGGTTTATTTCTGGATTTTCTATTCGATTCCATTGGTCTGTATGTCTGTTCTTGTTCCAATACCATGCAGTTTTGATGATTATGGCTTTGTAGTATAGTTTGAAGTCTGGGAGTGTGATGCCTCCATTCCCTTCTTTTTTTTTCAGGAGAGCTTTGTCTAGCCTGAATTTAGATGTGGTTATGAGTATTAAAAAATACACTGGATTTAAAGATTTAGTAATATAGAAAAAAAGTAAAATAACATTAAAATTCATTTCATTTTTTTCTTTTTACTTTTAAAACATGACTCTTTCTTGATTACCCTTCATCTTCCAGAGAACTTAAGTTTATATATAGCTCACATCATCTTTCTTTGGCTCTATAAGGCTCTATGAACTGGGCCCCACTTCCTCCCTGACCTCATTTCCCACACCCCCTTCCTCACACCATTCCAAAGCTCTGATCTCTTTGCTTAAACAAAGCAAAATGCGCTTCTACCTCAGGATGTTTGCACTTCCAGATTTGTCCTCCTGGGGCACTCTTTCTCAGTGTCCTCGTGGCTTATTCTATTGTTCCTTCAGGATGCTGCCCAGTTGCCTATGTTTTTAGAGATATTTACCTGATAGATATAAAAGCTCATCCCCTTTATTGTCTATTCCTCTTAATCTGCTTCCTGTTACTTGATACTGCTTATCATCATTGCCTTTTCTGTTTTGTTCATTTGTCGCTCTATATCCTGAGCACCTAATATAATGCAAGATACAGAATAGACATTAGGTAACAATTTGTGGCACAGAGGGCTATGTATTATGCAATACATTATTTCACATTTAATATTGAACTGTCCTGCAATAAGGTTCAGGTTTCCAAGGTATAAAGAGTAAGATAAACTTTAATTTATTATCAACTACATGAAATTCCCTATGTAAGAAATCAGATACTTTATAAAATCATGTAAGATAACTGTTTTATCCATTTCAAAAGAATTAAGATAAAATAAATAAACTTATACTAATCAACTTTTATATATTTGTGTAATTAGTAACACAGGGCGTTTTAGAGATGCTTATAAGGAATTCAAGATAGCGATAAAATACAAATCAAGACTTAAGAGTCAGAAATTTTTTTTATGATCCACTAAATAGTATCCTGTTTCTTAAAGGAATTTTTCAAAATTTTTAATTAGTCTAATAATATTAATATACTACTCATCCAGCAAATTGGGTCACGTCAAGGTGCTAAGATATTCTTTGGATACCCTTAAATTTTCTTGTGCTGGTAATCATAACAAACTTGACCTGTTTATAAAAAAACTTTTGAAGGCAATCGTCATTCTTTATTTAGAGCTAAAACCAAACAGAAAGGAACCAAAAAAGGAAAAAGACTTTTTTTTTGCCGATGTCATCTTTTTAATCCTTACTTTTTAAAAATTAAAAAAAATTAAAAAAATTTTCTTACATCGTTTTTCATTTTTGTACAATATTTGATTTCTCCCCTCAGGCATAGCCCCCATAAATCTCTACCACAACATTACCCCTACAACCGTCACCCTAGTCCCTTGTGCTCTTCTTTTCCCTGTTCTGATCCCTCCACTCCTTCCCTGCTGTGTGTCTCAGATCTATAATTTGCCTGCTAGTTTTGTCTGAAAAAGAACTATTTTTAACTTACACTTTAATTTTAAAATGTAAGATGAAAAAAATATAAGATAACTAAAAATACTAATGAAATAATTTAAAAGCAAGGGTATCTTTTCCTTATTTGAATATATTTGCTTTTCCATTTTAATTTCAGTCTTGGTCACAGCATCTCTTCAACTGTAACTAGAAAAATGAAACAGAAGTGCCCTTTTGTGTCGCAGGTTGCTGCTGCATGCAGTTTGTGGGCCCCTGAGACCTGAAAATAAAGAGTTTGTTAGCGCCTATGAGGCTGTATCCAGTGTCCCTATGGCTGTCACAAAGCCAAAAACTCAAAGTATTGAGTTACACCGTAATGGTATGGATAGATATTGTTTGGACTATCATGAGAAAAAAAGAAAGAAGGAAGTTCAAGAGGCCTATGAAGGTTCAAAAAAGGCGAAAAAGATAATTGGTCTGAAAGCTAAGCTCTACCATAAACAGCGCCATGTTGTGAAAATACAAATGAAAAAGACTATCAAGATACTTGAAAAGAGAAAGAACAAACAGAAGAATGATGAAAAGACTGCAGAAGTAGCAGCGCCTACAAATCTACTGGACAGAGATGGACAGACCCAAACTAAAGTATGGTTTGCAATATGATTAAACAAAAACAAAAGAGGAGGCAGAAAAACGGAAAGCCCCTCTGCTCAAAGTTCATGCCCAGGGAGAAACAGAAGTATTAAAAGTTTTTCAAACAGCAAAGAGAAAGAAGAAAGTGTGGAAGAGCATGGTCACTAAAGTCTGTTGGAGACAGCTTTACAAGAAAACCACCTCAATATGAAAGATTCATTAGACCAAAGGATTTACATTTCAAAAAGGTCTATGTAACACACTATGAACTAAAAGCCATCTTTTGCCTGCCAAAATTTTGAGGGCCAAAATCCCTCAGCCCTCCTATATACAGCTTTGGATATTATTAGGAAAGGTATACCACTGAAGTGTATATGATCAAGTTGGGCCTTGTGACACAAGGAGGCAAAGTTATTTGGGGAAAATATGCCCAGGTTACCAACAGTTCTGAAAATGAAGGATGCAAAAATGCAGTCTTACTGGTTTGACAGCAGTTTCATAATTCTTGAAGTCTACACAAAATCAGGAAAACCACCGTTGCTATGATGTTTCGGAATACTACCAAACCACATGTCTGCCATCATCAAGAGAACTATACATTCTATTGCAAAAATAATTTAAATAGCTTAGTTTTACAAACTAGTATTTGTTTTTGGGTCTGCTTAGTATTAGATATTCGTAAAATTGAATAATTAAAAAAGCAGTTATAGAAAAAAAGAAAAATGAAATAGATTCAACAAGCTATATGCCATTTTGGAATGTGAAATTTCAATAGGCAGAACTGAGAAATCAGAACTAGCACTATACTAAAGTATGTAAGACTTAAAGTATGTCCTCAGTGATTTTTTTTGAATATTACTTTGTGCTAATTTAATGAACCTTTACTAAATGTATATTGTACATCAGCACTCTACCAGCTACCCAGCTGGGGAAGTCAGCCGCAGGGTTATCAATGATTTCCTGGAATAGATCCTCTTTTCTGTGTTATCAGTTTAAAGTGACCTGCAGATGGTCATCAGGCCTTGATGTTATCTTCATCTTCATAAGGAACAAAATATCTCCTCAAGCATCAAACAACCCATTACAGTGGCCCTGAGGAATGTGTCACAGCAGGTTAAACTAAACAAGTTAACGGCTAAAGCAGAGGTCCTATCATGTTCTGGCTCAGGCCAGACCACAGAAGAATGGATTTCCTGCACCTTTTTCAGGTTGTGCAACAAGATTATGTCCAAATTACCAATTGTATAGTAATTCAACTTACATTTCTAAGATTTTGTGAAGAATATTTCCAAAGGCTTAAAAAAATCTTAAGGAAATTGTTTATACTTGTTTCCCTGGATTTTCTTCCTTTGTATACCACGTTACTTTAGCAACACCTAAAGTACAATAGATGAACTACTGGTTTTATATCACTTTTTTTTTAGTATCTTTTGTAAGTTTTATAAATGAAGGAGCAAAATATTGTAGTATTTCATGTTACTTTTCTTTTTTTCTTTTATATATTTTTTACATCATTTTTCATTTTTGCACCATGTATGCATTTTCATTTTGGTTATATTCCCCACCCCCCTTATTTTGACCCTAATCCCTCGTCCCCTCCCCCCTAGTATGTCTCTAGTTTATAGTTGCTTGTTGATTTTGATTTTTACTTTATTATAATTAGTCCTTTTCCTGGTCCCTTATTTAGGTTTTCTAGATTCCTGCTATGAGTGAGACCATCCGGTATTTTTCTTTTTCTTTCTGGCTTATTTCGCTGAGCATGATCCCTTCCAGCTCGATCCTTGTTGCTGCAAATTGCATGAGTTTATCACATTTTTTAAAAAACTGCCAATTTTGCAAACACGGCTGGCATGGCGTTTCTGAAACTATCTAGAACCTTCTCAAAAACGGCGAAACACACAGGACAGAGAAACAAGCCATTTTCTGTGCCTCCGTTATAGACAAGGTACGTACCCTCCCGTCCCTGGCTGCTTCACGGGAGCCCTCCTGCAGTAAGCAAAGGGAGAGGCGAGCGGGGAAGGCAAATAGCATCCCCAGTGGGGCGGGGCCGCCCGCAGGGTGTTTCGCGCGCCCCGCAGCGGCCGCAGGGTGGAAGCGCAGGCGGCCCGCGCCGTTGGGCGGTCGTGGGCCGAGCCAATCCCGAGGCGAGCGGGAGGGGGCGCGGCCGGCCGAGGCGGGTTCTGGCTGCCCCGGGGTCCGCTCGCTCGCTGGGCGGCTCCCGGCGTGCGGCGCGGGCGCTTCGCGCTTCCCCGCCGACCATGGAGCGGGTGACGTTGCCTCCCGGAGGCGCGGCGGCCGTCGATGAGTACCTGGAGTACCGGAGGTGAGGGGCGGCTCTGTGGGGTGCGGCTCCCCCGGGGATCGCGGGTGGGCGGCTGGGGACCCGGCTGTGGCCTGGCCGGGCTCGCGGGGTTCTTTCTCCAGCTTTTGGCGGAGCTTACATAGATTTTCAGTTTCTTCTTTCTGTCATTAAATATTGTAATGACGTGCAGTTCTGTAATGATAGCTCTCTTCCGCGGCCAATTAAGAGCTCCCTCTCCCCCCAACACGCCCATCCCTGACAAGACGGATTATTAACTCTAGAGTTACCCATTTTTTCCCCCCCTGAAGTGGACATTAAAGAATTACACATTAAATATTCGGGGCCTATAAAAGCAGACATGGAACTTGCATGTTAGTAGCAGGTTACGTCGTAAACTGCCAAAGGTGCACCTAACTCCGAGGCGTTGGTTTGGGAAAAAGGCACCCACTGGTGTGGTTTTAGGGCTTCTGGAGAAACTCCTCTCCTGAAATTGGAAATGCTGCCGCCCCTTTGGTTTGGGGACAGGATTCCCTTTCCTTGAATCCTGACAAGGCTGCGCACCTATGGCGAGGGATTCATTTTCAGTTTGTAAGGGTTTTTGACAGTTGGGAACTGGCCGAAGGGGAATTACTGGAGAGGGACAAGCTAGTAGACGCGAAGTTGGAGAGGGGAATGTGTTTAAGGGGAAGTGAGACAGTCACGACCCCACTTGGGAAACTTGAGAGGGACTAACTGCCCTGCTTAAAAGTGACCGCCCCAAATCACCCAGGAGTGTTCGGGCACTCCAGTTCCCTAGCTAATAGCATTCCTCTTGTCACGGTGGCATAGGTTTGGGTAACACATAGAATGTCCTGGTAACACTCAGCCAGAAAAGTGGGAGCCAAGAGCTTGATGGGTCAGGCCTCATCCCACGTTCAGGTAGATCCAGGTAACTCCAGGTGTCCTGTGCCTAGAACTGCTCCCACCCAGCTCTCACCCAGGGCAGAGCCAGCACCTTTAGCCTCCAAGTCGCCAGGGTTTTCTCCCTGGGAACACTTGCTGGATCCTAATGTTAACTGTAACTTAGATATTTAGATTTGTGTCTTGCTTGATCCAGAAAATATTAGGGCCTGGTGATTAATTACTTTTGTAAGCATAAGTAACCTGGAACAAGTTTCAGTAAGAGATTATCCGGAACTTTACTGACATTGATATTTGGGAAAGATGGGAGAAACAGGACTTGGGTGGCTAGTTATGAAAGGAGTGTGAAAGGGTCTGAAGGATGAATCTAGGTTAGGAACTCTCCTTCCTCAAAGTTTTCCCAGAGTCAGCCTTATTTGGGTGCTTTTGTGGGAGGCATTTGGGAGGGAAGTTTAGAACCTTGCAACTCAAAGTGTAGCAACCATGGACCAGTGGTGTGGGAATCACCTGGGAACTTGTTAGGAATTCAGATTCTCAGGACTTTTAGTGTGAATCTGCATTTGAAAATGATCCACAGGGATTCTGTAAATTAAGTTTTCTGGGGCATTGGTTTAGAACTCAAACAATCTGTTCCATCCTTTAACAATTTGCATTTATTTAAAGGTTTTTCTAGTACTTGTTGTACTTCTTGGTAGCTTCCCTAAATTGAAATGGTCCAAAGTTTATCTCAGGATTAAATACCCTTTTTGTATCCAAATTTTTTAAATAAGGAAGACTATAGTTTCTGAACAAGCATCTGCTGAAGGCTTGAAAGTTTGAAAAGTTTGAAAAAAGCTGTGAATTGCACAAGTAATTATGTAGCATTCTGCAAACAGCACTTTTCATGACCTTCATAGGACTATATTTTCAAAGAGAAGTTTCTTCAATTTTGAACAAATTCTTTTGTCTTCTTCTACCTCCAGGGAGGCCAAATCTTAATTTTCTAAGAAATAGAGATAACTTAAGTTTTTGCATAAAGGTCTGACTTCTGGAATTAAACATTGATGTACCTGACTACTTAACACACAGGTATTGGCTTGAGTTTGTGTAGACTCTAGGGTATTTGCATAGATCCAAGAATATTTGTGGTTTTGTGTAGTTTCATAAAGCAAAAATAAAATATAATTTTTTTTTGCTAAAATGCTGATCTTTGCAACATTGTCATCATAACCAATGACCTTCGCTTTCCATTCTCTCTTTTTTTTTTTTAAGATTTATTTATTTATTTATTTATTTATTTTATTTTATTCTGGGTACAGTCAGAAGCGCAGGAGGGTGAGAGAATTCACCAGAGCCAGAGCAGGGAGCAGAGCAGGCAGAGTGACGAAGTACACTGCTGAGGGGAGCAGCGGGCGGCAGGAGAGGTCTGCGCGCCATGTGGGACCCTCGCCCGGTGGCCGGGGATCGAACCGGTGCTGCAGAGGCTATGGGCAGCTTCGCAGCCCAGTGCTCAACCGCTGTGCCATTGGGGAGGCCCTCCATTCTCTCTTAATTTAAACTCCTGGCCTAGGTTTGGGGTCAGGTATGGACATTAGTTTTGCCGTCTTTTATGGTCATGAGTTTTGTACTATCTTTAACGAAGTAATATGTTAAAAATTTTTAGTGCTATATTTGTTTATTTATTTATTTTAAAGTTCTATTTATACAAGAGCTGGGGTACAGGCCAGAGGTGCGGGAAGGTGAGAGAATTCATCAGAGACAGAGTGGGGAGCAGAATAGACAGATGACCGAAAACACTGCTGAAGGGAGCAGCAGGTGTGACAGGAGAGGTCTGCTGTGCCATGTGGGAATCTCCCTTGCGGGCCGGGAATCGAATCCATGCTGCAGAGGCTGCAGACAGCTTCACAGTGCTGTGCTCAACCCGTTGTGCCACTGGGGAGGCCGCTAGTGCTATATTTAATGGAGAAAAATGTTAACATTTTTAGTAGTTTAGGTTCTAGCTATTAATGAAAAGAATGAGCATGGTGCTTCAGAATGAAAGGAGAAGTTGAGATGAATATGTAGTAAACCACCATTGGTAAACCTCAATTAGTAATGTCAAATGTTATGAATTTGTTGATTTTATTTTTTGTAATATTTTATATGGGAAGCAAAGCTTTATTACTAAGAATATATAATTTTACTGTTACCATATGACTAAAGTAACATATCAAGATTAAGTGCCCTTTCTTTCGTATAAGCGTCTAATTTTAGAATTTAAGATTTTTCTTTTTTTTTTATTTTAAGATTTTTTTTTAATAAGTCAGCTTTTTTCTTTTTTTTTTTAAAAAATTTATTTATTTATTCATACAAGCACTGGGTACAGTCAGAATCACGGGAGGATGAGAGAATTCACCAGAGCCAGAGCGGGGAACAGAACAGGCAGAAGGACCGAAGTACACTGCTGAGGGGAGCAGCGGGCGGCAGGAGAGGTCTGCGCACCATGTGGTACCCTCACCCAGTGGCCGGGGATTGAACTGGCGCTGCAGAGGCTGCAGGCAGCTTCGCAACCCAGCGCTCAACCACTGCGCCACCGGGGGAGGCCCGAATTTAAGATTTTTCACTTGAAGAATAAATATTCAAATCTTAAGTTTATCTCAGGATTAAATAACTTTTTTTTTAAACTTTTTTTTTTCTTTGGTAGAATTGTTGGTGAGGATGATGGAGGGAAACTTTTTACTCCTGAAGAATATGAAGAATACAAAAGAAAAGTTTTACCTATGCGCTTACAGAACAGATTATTTGTGAGCTGGCGATCACCAACTGGAATGGATTGTAAACTTGTGGGTCCAGAGACACTGTGTTTTTGTACACATAGGTAAGATATTTTACTGGCAAGTTTTCTGATGACTAGAAAATATGAAACTGTATGAGAGGGGGCATATCATCCTTCTATATATAACATTATTTGTGACCAGTGAGAAACATTTTAAAATAGTGCTTCAAATAATATTTTAGAAATTATCTAAAGGTTTTATTTTTTTGTGCTGTAATAAAAAAATTTCTGTATGTTCTAGCAGAACTCATTATGGAGTCCATCACTTTAAATGTCTCTTCTATTGATAAAAAGATATTGGTACCCTTGTGACTTTGCCAGAGGCCTTGCAGTCAACTGGGGAGTCCCCCACTAGGCAAGGCAGAACTTGGGTCATCAGACTGCAAAACTGCTTTAAGAGTTGTTTGCATTGACCTGACTGAACAGGTAACCAGACTACAAATAGAAGCATTTCTCCTCAAACTTAACTAATCTCCCTCTGCATTTTAAGAAACATATTGGGTGGATACCTTTCTTTAAACAAAGATATAAGCATATAGAGTTTTATTACAAATGTTCGAGAAAAGCACATGGAGGAAAGTAAATATATGAAGTTCCAGTCATTGGTGTGTGTAGCCTGTACCTGAGGTTTGCATTGGACTGTGTTCGTTGTGTTATACTTTAAATTTTACTCCTGTCACAGATCACAGTTGTACAACTCAGAAGGACAAAACTGCTTTGTAGGGGAAAAAACCACTGAACCGGTTATGTGTTTTTAGGTAACAACTTGAACTGCTGTTCCAAAGGAACAGCAGGAGAACCGCCCTGTTTGCATAGTTTCTGGGTCTCTTTCATGAGAAACTCTTTGTAGTTGCTGTTTACAGACTTGAGTTTGCCAAAGGTTGTTAGGCAGTTGCTAGGATGAGTAATGTGTATAGATTGACTTTACATTTCTTTAGCAACGCCTGCTGAAAACACTGGAGGAATGGAGGATGAGGGATTTATTGATATCTTCCTGAATTGAAGAGGAGTTTGGTCAATTTGTGTTAGTTTTATAACTTGCTCTGCTATGAATTTAGTGCCAGTTTCTTATTTGTATATATCATGGGATTAACCCTCAAAATTGACTCAGCCCAACTTTGTTGGAAAAGTTCTCATAAAAACTCAGTGCGGTGAGATCTCTTTTTATATTTTTTCCCTACCATTATAAAAGTGAAACATGGTTATAAAGGGAAATAAGGAATGTGTAGAAAGTAAAAAAAACTCTATTGAATGCCAGCTGCTGATGATACATTTTACTATATTTGTGTAATTTTTTTCTTTATATTAATAATTTAATTGTTAATTTTATGATTTTATGTGTGTGTAAACATTTAACCAGTTTTAAACGATAGAATGACAGAAATGTTTTCACATTGTTATGTAGTAATTATAAACAGGATTTTAAATGCCTCCTTAATATGCTAGCTAATTCAGTGGGGTGCACTGTGTGTAACTCACAGCTGTGAGGTAGTCTGGGGATATCAGGGCAGTGAGGGGAAGAAGGATTCCAGTTATGGCTCTTTGTCTTGCTTTGTCTTTTTATATTTTATGTATTATGTTTCTGTAAAAGATTGAACTTGAAGAAAGGGCTTCACTGCTGAAAAAAGTTGTCTAGTATTTTAGTTATTTATTCCTTTACTAGTATGTGTGTGTATGTTTCCCTTTTTTGCTGTTGTATGTACTGTTACTAATACCATTGCTATTCACAAAGTTCTTTTTTTTCCCCAGAAAGGAACTGTCTGGGTTAAAGGATAGATTTTTTTAAAGTTTCTGGAAACATTAAACAGGATTGGTTCTTTTATAACACTCTTGACAGCATTGTGAATTATGTATAGTTTTTTTTTTTTAAAGATTTATTTATTTAGCGTAGAAGAACTGGGGTATAGGCCAGAGATGCAGGGTGAGAGGATTCACCAGAAACACAGTGGGGAACAGAATAGGCAGACTGACCGAAATATACTGCTGAGGGGAGCAGTGGGCAAGTCAGGAGAGGTTGCTGTGCCATGTGGGTAGCTCCCTGGCCAGGGATCGAACTCATGCTGCGGAGGCTGCAGATAGCTTTGTAGGTTGTGTCTTAACCCCTTGTGCCACCAGGGAGGCCCAAATTATGTATCATTTTAAAAATAACTTTAGCTCTTTTTGCTTAGTGAAAAATGGTATTGTTATTTTATTATCTATTACTTAGATTAATATTGAGAGTTATAAATTTAATATTGTTTTACTGCATATCACCTTATTAGCAGGAAGTAAGTGGCTTATTAAAGAAATTTGCAGGGGTCTCCCTGGCAGCGCATGGGGTTAAGCACCGCATTGTGAAGCAATCCGAAGCCTCTGCAGCACGAGTTCAATGCCCGGCTGGCCAGGTAGCAACCCACATGGCACAGCAGACCTCTCCTGTCTCACACACTGCTCCCCTCAGCAGTGTATTTCAGTCAATCTGCCTGTTCTGTTCCTCACTCTGTCTCTGGTGAAAACTCTCACCCACAGCATCTGTGGCCTGTACCCCAGCTCTTGTAAACATAAATAAATAAATAAATCTTAAAAAAAAAAAGAAAATTGCAGTGTTTTAACAAAGAGCTTTGTCTCTTAAAATGTTTATAATTTATTTGGAGGTTAAAAGTTAAACTGTATTAAAATAAATTCCATTAATATTTATTTGTTGTACACTAAATATGTATTTATTGAACACTTGCCATAGTTTTAGGTTATGCTTCTGTATTAAAGACTCTGTAGTGATATTTTAAAGGAATTATATAATTTGGGGGGTATATTACTGTGAAAATTCTTAAATAGATAAAAATCTAAGAGTGAAGATTTTCTCTGAAGCAACATAGCTGACAGAAATACCATATGCAGGGGAGTTTTCACCTTACAAACAAGAACAATGAAACAGAAATAAAATAAATAATATTCCTTAATAAAAGAGAAATTGCAATTTTTGGCAGTACCTGCATTGTATTTCTGGTTTTCCTTTCCTTTTCCTTTTATTTTTTAGGTATAAGCAACATAAAACTGACTTTGAAACAATTCCACAGCAGCGTCCCATTAGTCTGCCTTGCCGAGTGACTGGCTGCCAGTGCAGGGCTTACGTTTATGTCCCTCTGAATGGCACACAGCCCATTCGCTGCAGATGCAAGCACTTTGCGGATCAACATAGCGCTGCCCCCGGCTCCGCTTGCAATGCCTGTGAGTTCCATTGATATCGACACACAAACAGAATCTTTTTCTTTAGTGAATATGTAATATACCCTATGTGCCATTTTTATTAAGCTGTGGAGTCCATATTAAACAACGGAGGAAAATTTAATGGATAACCATTTAAAATTTTTATTTTTTGTGGAAAATTCATAAAGTTATTTGCATGTTTTGCTATCATAAACCTTGGTCTCATGTAGTTAAACTAAGTTAAGCCAATAGTAATAGATTTTAGGAATCATTGGAAATCATTTGATTCAATTTTTTTAAAAAAGATTTATTTTTTATTTATACAATAGCTGGGGTACAGGCCAGAGGCACGGGAGAGGATTCACCAGAGACAGAGTGGGGAACTGAACAGGCAGACAGACTGAAAGTACTGCTGAGGGGAGCAGCAGGCACGACAGGAGAGGTCTGCCGCACCATGTGGGAATCTCCCTGGCCAGCTGGAAATTGAACCTACATTGCAGAGGCTGCAGACAGCTTCATAGTGCTGCGCTCAACTCGCTGCGCCACTGGGGAGGCCTTCAATTCTAAATTCTATGAAATAGGTTATAACAACATTTTTTTTAAAGATTTATTTATTTATATAAGCAGTGGGTACAGTCAGAAGCCGGGGAGGGTGAGAGAATTCACCAGAGCCAAAGCGGGGAGCAGAGCAGGCAGAAGGACCGAAGTATACTGCCGAGGGGAGCAGCAGGTGGCAAGAGAGGCCAGTGTGCCATGTGGGACCCTCCTCCGGTGGCCGGGCAGCAGCCGGGAATCGAACCAGCGCTGCAGAGGCTGTGGGCAGCTTCGCAACCCAGCGCTCAACCGCTGTGCCACCGGGGAGGCCCCATAACAACATTTTTTAATGACGTGGCAGGAATGTTTCATTGTTTAAGTAGTTGCATAAAACATTTATTATTTGCCTTGGTTCCTATTCACATTTCTCAAAAGTCTGAATGAGTAAAAATTTTGTCAATGGTATATTCTGGCCACTATTTCAACACGACTTGTTTTTTTCAATATAACAACTTTACTAAGATAGGATTCCTAGATTACACAGCTTATCCATTTTAAGAGTACACTTTAATGGCTTTTGATATATTCACAGAGTTGTGCAACCATCACCACAATACATTTTAGAACATTTTTGTCACCCCCTAAAGAAACTCTTTATCTATTGACAATTATTCCATGTTGCTTTGTCCCCATAACCCTAGGCAACCAATAATCCACTTTTTGTCTATGGGTTTGCCTACTCTAGACATTTCATATAAGTAGAATCGTAGAATATGTGCTCTTTTGTGATGGGTTTCTTTCACTTGGCGTAATGTTTTTATGATTCATCCACAGTGCAGCATGTATTAGTACGTCTTTCATTTTTATTGCTAAACGATATTTCATTGCATCTCTTCTGTGTCTGTGGATTAGCCTTTTATATGACTTTTATGGGGGATTGTCTCATAGGGTGTTCTCCACCTATCTCCTCACCAAGTTCAGACCGCAGAACTGTCCCCACATCTGATTTTGACTCAGTATTTGAGGACAGAGCACGCGTTTTCAATTCTCCAGTGGTTAGCCCAATTTTGTTAAGTACATGTTGATTTCTCCAGTACTTTTTCCTGCTGCTTACCCTCTTCCTACTTCAGCATCTTCTATAAGTAAGAGCAGCAGGGGCTGGTGGTGAGAGTTATAGGGGTCAGAGGTGAACGATTTGACTTCAGATGACTTTAGCCTAGATAAGTGTTTTTAGGGCAGAAGGCTCAGTACCTATATCTAAAAACATTTAACTCTTTACATCTTGATTCAGGTTCCAAGTGTTCAGGATTCCATAGTTGCTTCACATGTGCTTGTGGTCAGCCTGCGTATGCCCATGACACAATAGTAGAAACTAGGCAAGAAAGACTGGCTCAGGGAAAACCAGTGGGACAGGATGTTCCCTATGCAGCAATGGGAGGATTAACTGGCTTCAGCTCACTAGCAGAAGGCTACATGCGGTTAGATGACAGTGGAATTGGTAAGTGATGATATGTGAACTGTGATCATGTATATTGTTTTTATGTGTGCTAACAAAGGTGAAGCCTTATATTTGTTTAGCATTTTATGTTCATGTTTTTTTTTTTTTTCCAGAACACATTTTATCATTTGTTTTTTATATTTTTGGAGAGGTCTTATTGCCTGTCTACAATATATGGTTATTATAGAAATGTAGAAAATAAAAGAGAAAAAGAAATCACTCCTATCCCAATCCCTATCCAATCCAAATCCCTATCCCCAATCCATTGTTTTGCAATAACTGAATAATTTTTCTTTTACTTGATATGATACAGTTTATTCGCTACCCTATTGTGTGCAATTTTTGCTATCTCATTTTGGAAACACAGGCATATATGTTCATGTGTGCATATGCACATGTGTATACACATTAGATTTATGACATTCTACTCACATAGGTGTGCACACACATGTATGTACACACATATATCTGCTTGCATATCTAAAAAGTTTAAAGTAATATAAGGAAAAATTAGATATATCTCAAACTATTGAAGGTAGCTTGATCTGCCTGAGTGTTGGGTGGGATTAGGGAGAATAATATGGTTTGATGTACTTCAAATATTTAAGCTGTCTGGTGCATTTTTTTTTTTTTTTAAGATTTATTTATTGGGTCTCCCCGGTGGCGCAGCGGTTGAGCGCTGGGTTGCTAAGCTGCCAGCGGCCTCTGCGGTGCCGGTTCAATCCCCGGCTGCTCCCCTGCCACCGGAGGAGGGTCCCACATGGCGCGCAGACCTCTCCTGCCTCCCGCTGCTCCCCTCAGCAGTGTACTTCGGTCCTTCTGCCTGCTCTGCTCCCCGCTCTGGCTCTGGTGAATTCTCTCACCCTCCCGCGCTTCTGACTGTACCCAGTGCATGTATAAACAAAACAAACAAACAAATAAATAAATAAAAAACATGCCTCTATTAAAAAAAAAAAAAGATTTATTTATTTATTTATACAAGCACTGGGTACAGTCAGAAGCCTGGGAGGGTGAGAGAATTCACCAGAGCCAGAGCGGAGAGCAGAACAGGCAGACTGTGGAAGTATACTGCTGAGGGAAGCAGCGGGCAGCAGGAGAGGTCTGCGTGCCATGTGGGACCCTTGCCTGGCGGCCGGGGATCGAACTGGCACTGCAGAGGCTGCGTGCAGCTTCGCAACCCAGCGGTCAACCACTGTGCCACCGGGGAGGCCCTGTCTGGTGCATTTTTGAAAACAAAGAGTTTTTTGTTGCAAAAATTACATAAAAATATACATTAATTTTTCTTGTTGTAGAGAATTCAAACAATAAAAATGAAATGCAGGGCCCTCTTGAACACTTTTTTTTACCCCACATTCTCTCCCAGAGGGTACTTTCTTGTCATCAATTGAGCTGAATTTTCTTTAGCCTACATTTTACAACTTCTTTTTAACTTAAAACAATTTTGAAGGCCCGTTACGTTAATACACACAAATCGATGTAATTATTTTTAATTGCAGCATACTGTTCCAAACTGTAGATAAATCAGTTTATCTAAACCATTTCCTTGTTTATGGAATTGAGATTATTTCCATTTTTTTACTACTAAAAATAATCCTAGCTCCAAAATCCTTGAACTTACTTCCTTGTGTATTTCCTTTTCAGTATTGTATATTGAAAAATGATAAGTTTTTCAATGATATAGAAAAGTAGAATTGTTGGACTGATGTGTGTGCACATGTGAAATTTTAATACATTCTGCCATGTGCCCTCAAAAAATGCAGTACTCTGTATTTCCTCTAGTGATGTTTTAGCTTATCTACTTCATCATATTTATGCTGATTGCTGATATTATTAAACTTATTTTTTTGCCAGTATGATGTGTGGAAATGTTTATATTGTTTTAGTTTGATTTTTCTGATTATTGGTGAGATGAGTAAAGTAAAATGGTGAATTTTACTTTCTGTGTATTGTCTGTTCATATACTTTGCTGATTTTTATGTTTTTATCTTTTTTCACTGATTTATAGGAAGATTTTTTTGAGGCAGTGGCCCTGGATAGCATTTATCACATTAAGGGGAAAGGGTGATTCCAGAGTAGAACAGGATGTATGTCCCCAGAACTAGGGAATTCAACAGAGGGAGTGGTGGACCTCAGGGGGAATCTGTACTTTTACTGAGAGCAAGTGTGAGACTACCGGCCCTACAACATTGAGAGACTAAATTATAACTTAGGCCAGGCATGAACATTTGAGATAAGTGGACACCAGAATGGTACAGAACCTGAGCCCCCTTCTGCTATTTTTCCCACAAGCTGCATGAGAGAGGAACTGGGTATGGAGTGGGGGCCAGAATCTAAAAGATGGAGCATTTATCCTAACATGTTTATGTTATAAGATGGGACTTTTGAAACAAAATAGGACTAAAAGTTTATTTCCTTCCTCTGCTCATGGTATGAGAATAGGAATGTGGGAGAGGTAATGGTTTTATGAAGCAGATAGAGCATAAAAAAGTATAAAAAGTTGTACTTTTCTCTGTAGCGTCCTTCCTTTTGTGAACCAAAAAAGTCAATGTCTGCAGCAGCTGTTTGTGGTTTGGGGTGTTAATGTTTTCTCATTTTGCGGAAGCACAAGTTTTTTATTATTAACATATGGTTTTTAGGTTTCCCAGTGAAGAATAAAAAATACTACTCTTTAAAAAAACTTTTTATTTACATCTTTTATGTCACTGTGTAGTCCCCATAAAATTCCCACCACCAGTTCACCCATGAACCATCACCATAGTCCCCTGTGCTCTTCTCTCCCCTGTCCTGATTCATTTTCTTCCCCTTCCATTGCATAATGTCTCTTATCCATGGTTGCCTGCTAGTTTTGTTATTTTATTATTGTGACTATTATTGTTATTTTTTCTCCCTGATCCCTTATTTGGTTCTCATACAGTCCTCCTATAAATGAAACCATTCAATATTTTTCCTTTTCCTTCTGGCTTATTTCACTGAGCATGATCCCTTCTAGCTCCATCCATGTTGCTGCAAATGGCATGAGTTTATCTTTTTTGATTGCTGAATAGTATTCCACTGTGTATATATTCCACATCTTCTTGATCCAGTCATCTATTTTTGGGCATTTGGGTTGTTTCCATATCTTACCTATTATAAATAGTGCTGCAATAAACATAGGTATCTTTTTGAATTAATGTTTTTGTATCCTTTGGGTAGATCCCTAAGAGTGGAATTGCTGGGTCATATGGAAGCTCCATTTTTAATAGTTTGAGGACCCTCCACATGGCTTTCCATAGTGGTTGGACCAGTTTGCATTCCCACCAGCAGTGTAGGAGAGTTCCTTATTTTCCACATCCCTGCCAACATTTGTTGTTGTCTGTTTTTTTAATGTGTGCCATTCTCACTGGTGTAAGATGGTATCTCATTTTATTGTACTCTTCAATTTGAAGTTCCTTATTGTATATAAATATCTTGTTTTTGATAGTTCTGTTTCTCTATTGAGGTTTTATACCACTTTGCTGAAATACATTTCGTTTGTGCATAATACATTTTTTTTCCTGTGAAAAAGATCTCTGAGAAATGTAATTTGCCTTTTTTATAATGAGATAAAACTAAATGAAAATTTTCTTTTACAGAAAGGATTTTTTTCTAATGATTCTGTTGATGTTCTGGTTTATTTTACATTAGAAATAACTTACTTGTATTCTTAAAATCAAGATTTAATTTTTTCTTTTTTTTTCTTCCACCTCACTCGAGACTAATTTTCATTTTTATTATGTTTTGTTCTTAGGTGCACCTTCTGTTGAATTTTTAGACTCTCCAGTTACAGCCACAGACCATCCATTTCTCAAGGCATTTCAAGCATCCTCTAGTTCTTCTCCTGAAACATTAACAGTTGGTAATAAAATAAAATTGAGAAATATTTTTGAATGTAGTAAATGAGAATGCAAGGCTAGGCATTTCTCCTCCCCCGTTATAACAATTTGATTATCATTTTTTGACCAGAACTGAGAAAAAGCAAGTCACTTATTTTTTTTTTTTTGGAAAAAATTGCTAAATCTGAGAATTTTAACAACCCATAATTTGAAGTTTTAAAACCTTATTCTGGCCATGTTGCTGCTTTGATGTTTGAATAAGAGAGCCCTCTAGTGGATTAATTGCCTTGGCCCTTTAGACTTTTCTAAAAAAAGATGAAATTCAATGATAATTACAATTTGGCAAGTCTTATCATTTTATAAATTATACATAAAAATTAAGAGTTCATTTTTAAGTATAAGTGTTCTATATCCTTTATTGAAAATAAAAATAAAGACACTCAAGAAGGAATTTACATAATATATTAAGTATTTAGTATTTTAAAATGGGAATTTCTTTGATACAATAGTTTTTTTTGTACATTTTATACAACCTTTTCCTGTATTTTGACTTTTTTAATTAAAAGGCTGCTTACAAAAACAACAAACTATGAAGGAATGATAAAATATGGATAGAAGAAATCAAAATCAAGGAAAAGGACATGATTGTGTCACCTTTCAAAGTTGATATAATTACTTCCTTAAACTTTGGTGTTGACCTAGTGTAGTGACAACCAAGGCACAAAGAAAGGTGTGATCAGTAACTCTATTCATTGTTATAAAGGAGGAAACATGAGTTCTTAGTGCTAAAGTTATACCAATGCTGAATTTTAAGTGTGTCTATATGACCTTCAATGATGCAGTGGCCAAGGTCCTTAGAAACCTTTTTTTCATCATATGCAACATTTCTGATTGCTGCTCATTTCTGATAGGCACCTTTGATAAATGTGGTAACATACCATTTTATCATACAAATGGTAATATGCCACAAAAATATAAATCAATGAAGATGAGTCTGCAAGAGTCTTAGCTCAAATGGTCCAATGTGATTAGATGAAGACCCAGAGTTCCAGACAAATGACTAGATAGCACATAATGTAAGCATTTTTCTTGTTTTTCTCAACAAGGCCTTTATAAGGGATGGTTGACACAGTATGGTTGTACTCTGGTGATTCTCTGGAGTTATGTGATATTGTATGTTCCTGGTTGAGAGTGAATTCATATACTTTAAAAACTAGAATATGCATTTGTTGATAGTCTATTTTTGATATGAACGGGCTCAACTAAGATATTCTACTGAAATGAAGGGTAACTTTTCCATGGAACTGGGTTCTTCTTGGTGTATGTACAAAGAAGCCAGGTTTTCTTTCCTGAAGCACTTTTAAATTCCTTTTAGTTGATAGTTGAAAAAAAAAAAAAAAGAAGCTGGTAATATCATCACTATGGTTACCTATACAAAACTTTCCTTCTTTGGGCTGCTGTAACAAAATACAACAGACTTGGTGGTTTATAAACAACAGAAATTTATTTCTCATTGTTCTAAAGGTGGGAAAGTCTTAAGACCCAGGCGCCAGCATGATTGTGTTCCAGAGCAGGTTCTCTTCTTGTTCTTGTAGATGCCTTCTCACTGTGTCCTCACATGGTGTAGGATCTGTGTGACATCTCTTTCATAAGGACACCAATTTCATTCATGAGAGCTCTATCCCCATGACCTAAGCACCCCCAAAGGCCCTACCTTCTTAAATTGCCACATTAGGTATTAGAATTTCAACATATGAACTTTGGGGGAACACAAATATTCTGACCATATCACAAACCTTCTATAATTTTGTGTATTATCTGTATAGTGTTACGTGGATTTCTAGTTTAGTTATAGAGTACAAAATGTAATTGAACAGAGCCAAATGTGCTCTAGTATAAAATAGCTATATGTCATTTAATAAGAACCAGTTGAATATTTCGGGAATGTTTGCTAATAAATATTACATTAGTCTCAATAATGCTCTGCTTTCTGAAAAAGAATCAGGTAGTAGGATCACTACGATCAACTTAGGACTTTTCTTGTTTGAAAAATAAAAAAGTTATTACTGGAAAATTTTCTTTCTGTTGTTTATTTCAGGAGAATTTACAACTACATATTACTTAGATTTTTTTCCTCCTCATTTAGTAGGTACAAGTAGTCAAGTTTCTTCCTTAAGGAGACCAGAAGAGGATGACATGGCTTTCTTTGAAAGACAATACCAGGAAAGGGTAGGTCTATGGGGAAAACGGCTTACGTTAAGCATTTAATTGTAATAGAGATACGGCAGATCAATTGTATATTGATTGAGCACCATCTATTAAAAAACATAACGCCTTTAGTTATAGCTGGTGTTAGGCCTTGAGACTTATTTAAAACAATTCAGATAGAAACAGGATTAATGAATAATAATAACATAATGCATTGGCTACTTTATGGGTCATAAAGATTGAGTAATTATACAAAGAAAATTGTCAGCAAAAAAAAAATTAGTTATCAGGAGACTTATAAATTATATGTAGAATTTCTTCCTCTTCTAGATGTATCAGACACTAGTTAAAATTATCCAATAGCTTTCCATTTATCCAATGAAGTATTTTAACAGTTTCCAGGACTCAACAGCTGCATTCTATATTCTTATTTCCCTGCTCTCTGTGATAATTTTCATCAGTTCTTTACACTAAAAATGTCTTGGGGATAAGCATAGCACTCTATTCTTCTTTGTAGTTTCCCTAGAACTAAACACAGTGCCTTGTACATAATATTTATGGAATATTGAAAAATGTTTATATCAATCAATATTTGTTGAAAATTGAAAAGATAAACACAGATTTGATTGATATTTGCTTTCATGCATGTCAAGTACTTACACTTCTGATGTTTTTCATATGTGAGAGTTTTATAGTTTAGTGTTTGTTTATTGCAAAATAATGTTGGTTTTATCAAGTATAGAGGTGGCATTCCAGCCACATGGTACATTCCCCATAGTGCTTTCCTTACTATTATTTTAATATTGCCTTGTGGGCATTTATAATCTCTCCAAGTGGATACTAAGTGCCATGAAAGTAGAGACACTCTTGTCACTTTTTGTTGTATCCTCCATAACAAGTGCTTTAGTTATTTGTTGAATAACTAAAGATGTAGGAAAAAAGAAATCATTACATAGCAGAAGAAGTGAGTAGGGGACAGAGAGATTAGTTTGACTTCCCTGATGAATTTTGAAGTAGAAGGGGAGAAACCTGGATTTGACTTAAGGCAGAACTAGTTAAATCTCTGCAACTTTCTGCAGTGATAGAAATGCCCTATTATCTGCACTGTAGTCATTTGTCATATGTACCCCTGTAAGTCTAAATTTAAATAGTCAAAATTTAAAATTTATTTTCTCATTCATACTAGCCATATTCAAGTGCTTAGTAGCCATATATGCCTAGTGGTTACCGTACTGGGCAGAATAAGAAGTTCTTTTGGGGGCCTCCCCAGTGGCTCAGCGGTTGAGCGCTGGGTTGTGAAGCTGCCCGCGGCCTTTGCAGAGCCACCAGAGGAGGGTCCCACATGGCGCGCAGCCCTCTCCTGCAGCCCGCTGCTCCCCTCAGCAGTGTACTTCGGTCCTTCTGCCTGCTCTGCTCCCCGCTCTGGCTCTGGTGAATTCTCTCACCCTCCCGTGCTTCTGACTGTACCCAGTGCATGTATAAACAAAAGCAAACAAACAAATAAATAAATAAGTAAAACATGCCTCTATTAAAAAAAAAAAAAGAAGTTCTTTTGGAAAGCTGGCGTAAGGGAAAGAGGTAGTAGTAGGATCAAGGAGAGGGAGTTGAAATGGTCAGAGTGACGAAAGAGGGCTACTTTTGCAGCATTATCAAGGATAGACTTTAATCAAATCAGTCTCTAGTCTTGGAACACACACTCTTGAGTAAATTTTAATTTTTCCTCAGAGGTTTATGAGGGCACTGAATTCTTCTTCTCTTCCCCCTCTAGAAGGCTGGGTAGTGGTGACTGCCTTTAAAACATGCCAAAGGTTTTTTCTTGTGGGGAGATAATGGAAGGTTTTTATTTGTGAGTGTTTTAAAGGACGTGCCTGGTGTGTTCAGACAGCTTCCTATAAACAAACATAGAATTTATGGATTTATAAGATATAGTTTGTAACTCCAGCCTGTGAATTAGTGGAATTTGAAAACTACAGTTCAGGTGGGCCTCCCTGGTGGCGCAGTGGTTGAGTGCTGGGTTGCGAAGCTGCCCGCAGCCTCTGCAGCGCCAGTTCGATCCCCGGCTGCTCCCCGGCCACCGGAGGAGGGTCCCACATGGCGTACAGACCTCTCCTGCAGCCCGCTGCTTCCATCAGCAGTGTACTTCGGTCCTACTGCCTGCTCTGCTCCCCGCTCTGGCTCTGGTGAATTCTCTCACCCTCCCCGGCTTCTGACTGTACCCAGTGCATGTATAAATAAATAAATCTAAAAAAATAAAAGAAAACTACAGTTCAGGGCCTCCCTTGTGGTGCAGGGGTTAAAGTCTCAACGGTATCAATCTATCACCAGCCACTGTGGCCTGAGTTCCATCCCTGGCCAGGGAGCTAACTCACATGGTGCAGCAGACCTCTTCTTGTCTCGCAGCCGCTCCCCTCAGCAATGTATTTCAGTCAATCCACCTTTTTTGCTCCCCACTCTAGCTCTGGTGAAACCACCCCCAACCCCAACATATTTCTGGCCTATACCTCAGTTCCAGTATGTATAAATAAATAAAAAACAAATCTTTAAAACAAACCCAAAACAAAGCAAAAAATTAAAGTTCAAACTTCAACAAAAACCTTTGAGCTGACATATACCATTAACATTATTATTATTCATCTTTATTCAATAACCAAGTCATGTACCATTGAGGTAAAAGGGATGTTTAGGAAGCTGTGTCTTATGGGTTCAGGGCCCCTTAAGAAGGTGGGATGCTAACTTCTGTATCTGGTCTCTGCTGGTATCCTTTGCTAATCATTAGTAACATTTGGTGAGGGGGAGAATCTATGATTAGTGTGAGTCAGCTTTGAAAACTGAAGCCTTTGTGGTAAAATAGTTTACTAACTAGTTTTCTGACCATATGGTATGAAATTAGAAATCATAACAAGAGGGATTATTAATGAAGAGATGCTTTTCTATGTATCAAGTCAAATTATTTTTTTCTGTGGATCTCTTTTCCCCAAGAAAGAATTAAGGAAATAGTTATCAAAGGTCAATTAGATGCAAGGAACTGTCAGTCCAGGAAACTGGAAAAAACTGACCAACCAAACAACGAAAAAACAAGGAAGCGCAGGAGGAGGTATCTTTGCTTTTTAGACAGTAGATGGATGTATTTGCTAAGTACTATTCCATCTGAGCAAATGCTGCTTTGGCTTTTGTTTGTGTAGTGTCTTTGCTCTTTTTTTTTAATGTTACTACAAATCTAAAATTTGACCTTAAATGAAGGGGAAGGAGATTAGCGTTTATTGAGTACTTATTAAGTGCCTCAATCTTTATATGAGGTTCCTAATCAACTCAGGATTTTGAGAGGAAAAAATGGGGAAGATACAGATTAGAATCATCTAATTTTTTTATTGGGAAGTATTTTGAAATTGGATGAGATTGGGTAGACTGGCTTGACCAGTTTCCTCCTGGTTTCTTGATATTACCCTGTCACATTAGAAGTAGGAGGCCCCACTTCTCTCCCACCTTTTCTGTCTCCTTCTCTTGCAGAGTTAAGGCAGTGGTGCTGCCTTTGGAAATTGGTATGTGTGTGTGTGAACATGAGTGAGTAAGAGTCAGATGAGTTTTTATGTACCTTGCTGTGTTTTATCCCATTGAAAAGACTTTATGTTTCTGAAAGGTCAGAAGGCTACTTGTTAGGGAACATGAGCTGCTTCTTTGTTTCAGTTACAATAGAGAAGGAAGACCTTCAGTATGCTAACTGTAGGAATGTGGAAATGAAAATTATGGGACTCAGTCTATAAAGCAGTTCAAGTTCCAGAGATATTTCAGGTAGATTAGTTGTATACTGTAACTCTGTAGGGAATGTGTACAGACTGGATGTTAGATTAGACAGTTAAACTTTACTTTTTAATTGACTCATTTTCTGTAAGGCAATATTCATTTTTTTAAAAAGATTTATTTATTTATACAAGAACTGGGGTACAGGCCAGATGTGCGGGAGGGTGAGAGGATTCACCAGAGACAGAGCGGGGAACAGCACAGGCAGACTGATGAAATACACTGCTGAGGGGAGCAGTGGGCGAGACAGGAGAGGTCTGCTGCGCCATGTAGGTTTCTCCCCGGGCAGCTGGGATGGAACCCGTGCTGCAGAGGCTGTGGACAGCTTTACAGTGCAGCGCTTAACTGCCTGCGCCACCAGGGAGGCCTAAGGCAATATTCATTGTATGTTATTGTTATTAAAATGTTTCTGTAAAGTTTAAATAAAATCATATTTAAAATATGCAAATAGGTCCCTTCAGCCATTAATTTTGGCTTTAGTATTTAACAGCTTAATAACTGCTAAATAATTGTGAAATGGTGGCAATAAATAACACATGAATCTATGATGTATGTGCAACTTTTCTTTAGAATGCTTTATAAATTATATCAACAAATAATTTAAACTTACAGATAAAAATGGAAAAGGCTGCTAAACAGAAAGGAAAAGCACCATTACCATCAACTACAAAACCTTCATGAAGACTCCTGGGGAAATTGAAACCATCTTCCACATGTGTTTTTTGTGTTTATTTAAATATAATATAGCTTGTTTTCTCTCAAATTACTCCTTTTACTGGGTAAAATCTTTTTGGTTGTTTATTTAAATAAGTGAAAATACCTTGTATTATTTTTGTCAATTTATGATTTACAAATTTGTATATACTTTTTATTTCTACTAAAAATGAGGTTATTTTCATGAGTTAAAACCTGAAATACAGGTGACTTTTAGTCTATTATAATTTCAGGCTATAATCTGTATTTTAAAAATTTAAGATGTTATTAAGGATTTTGAACAAATGTACATTGACCACATTTTTAATTCAAAATAGTTAAGATCCTTAACTTTTTGTTTTTCAAACTTTGTAATGTTGGCTTATGTTTCTAAATAAACTATTTTAAAATTGTATAACCATCTTCTAGTGGTATGTGATTTTTTTTTTATTTTTTTTTTTAATAGAGGCATGCTTTATTTATTTATTTTATTTGTTTGTTTGTTTTGTTTATACATGCACTGGGTACAGTCAGAAGCGCGGGAGGGTGAGAGAATTCACCGAGCTAGAGCGGGGAGCAGAACAGGCAGAAGGACCGAAGTACACTGCTGAGGGGAGCAGCGGGCAGCAGGAGAGGTCTGCGCGCCATGTGGGACCCTCCTCTGGTGGCAGGGGAGCAGCTGGGGATCGAACCGGCACCGCAGAGGCCGCGGGCAGCTTTGCAACCCAGCGTTCAACCTCTGCGCCACCAGGGAGGCCCTGGTATGTGATTTTTAAAGTTGTTTTCTTAAGTATTTGTAGCGGCAGGAGGGGATGGAACAGACGCGTAAAGGAGGAGTCCTGGAGCCCTCGGGTGGCTTTTGCAGGCTTTTATTGGGATTTACCACGCACACAGCAGGCAGGGGTGCTGGGGGTCCGGGAGGCTGACAGACCTCCCAGCCCCCAGCAAGTCTTCACTCTTTCTGGGCTCTCCAAGTTCTCCTGTGGCCTTTGCTTCTCTGCTCCTTTCGTTCTCTTGCTCTCGTTTTCCTTCTGGTCTTTTCACTCTCGTTGTCTCAAGCTCTGCTGGCGTCCTTGTCTGCTGACACCACCCTTCTAAGCCCAGTTTCTCAGCCCAGGTGTATCCACCTATGCATGCCCACACCCTACACCAGGTGCCCACCATCAGGCATGCATTCAGAACTGCAGGGATCCATCATCAATCCTAGTGGTGGGAGGGCAGAAAAGCCCGATACTTTACTTACCCTACAGTATGCATGGTATATATAATTCTTGTATGCCACTTCAAATCCTCTTGGTCCTACCTCTTACTCCTGTACTACTGTGAAATACTTTTAAGCAGGCTTCTGGCAGCTTCATATGGAAGTCATTTGATGGCACTTTGTCTTGGGATCATGTCATGACTATTGGCTTTCCCTATGGATCCTCTGACGCTGTGTCTTGGGATTGGAACCCCGCTGTATCATGCTGTGCAGCCCAGACATTTGGGGCCGTGAATAATTTTGGGGCAAACCCTTGACCAATGGGAGGTGAAAGTGTAGGTTTTCTATGATCCAGCAGACCGGGTAAAGGAGAGTCCTGGAGCCCTCAGTGGCTTTTGCAAGCTTTTATTGGAATTTACCAGGTAAACAGCAGGCAGGGATGCTGGGGGGCTGGGAGGCTGGCAGTCCTCCCAGTCCCTAGCAAGTCCTCACTCTGGGCTCTCTGGCCTTCTCTCATGTTCTCTTTGTTCTTCCATTCGTTCTGCTTCTGCTTCTGCTGCTTCTACTGCTTCTCTTCTTTTCGGCTTCTGCTGGAGTCCCTGTGATGCCGCCCTTAAAAGCCCAGTCATAGCCCAGGTGAATCCCATCTACATATGCCCATACTCTACTCCAGGTGCCCGCCATCAGGCATGCATTCAGGACCACAGGGTTCCGTCATCCATCCTAATGGCGGGAGGGCAGAAAAGCCTGATACTTTTTACCTTACCCTACAGAAAGCCAATAAATGTTCCTCCTTCCATTTTCTAGGAAGACAATTCTGTGATACTGTTCACAGCTTCCTCAGAAAATCCTGTGGGATTGTACATCAGTCACACATAGCAGTAGCCAACTCCAAACATATTTCTTATGTTAGCTTTCTCTTTTTCCCTTTTTCGCTCTTCAGTCTCTCTGGTTTTCTCAGATCTCTTTCCAAATAAATCACCTATTGATTGTCTTTGGCTTTACTTTTGGGTAGGAGGTAAAACCAGCTTAAGATTGGTGTCAGAAATGGCCTTAGAAAGCAAACTCTCTGTGTGGGATTCTGTGACTGGATCATTTGCTGGACAGCTGACAATAAAGATGGTGGTAAGTGTGGTAATGAATTCCTGACATAGATGCATGAAAGTTGCTGTAGTGGATTTTGGCAAAGTGTAGGTTGAAGAGAAGTGTTAGGTGATACAGTGGCTGTGCCATTACAGTGGAATGGTATCCATGGAAATTGTAAAGATGGAAGTGGTGTTAGCCATTATTAACTGTTTTGGAAATCTTGGAAAAAAGAAAATGACCTGGGCTCATGTTAGCTACTTAAGGCATGCTGTGAAGGCTAGTGTGCCTCAATTAGCATCTTTAAGGAAAATCTCATCTTCTGTAGGTGAAGTCAATCTGTGCTAATAGGCCCAAATCTAATAGTACCGGTGGCAAGATTGCAACAACTTTGACTCTCTCCTCCAATCAAGTCAGCAAACAACATTGAAAAGAGTAAGTTTGAAAGGCTTACAATATGTCTTCAAGACTTATTATAAAAACAACAGTATCAATGGTGGAGTTTAGTCTAAAGAACACAGATCAATGTAACAGAAAGAGAACGCAAAAATAGATTGGCACGTATATGGTCAACTGATCTTTGGCAGAGGTGTAAGGGCAATTCAATAAAGAAATGATAGCATCTTCAACTAATGGTGTTGGAAAATTTGGATACCCATATACAAAAAACCCCACCTCTGTTCCTGCTTCACATCTTACACAAAAACTAACTCAAAAAGAATTACAGATCTAAATGTAAGGCCTAATACATCAAAACTTCTACAACATAAAATAGGGGAAAACTTGTGTGAATTGGGCTAGCCATAGATTGCTTAGCTATAACACAGAGGTATAATCCATAGAAGACTGATAAATTTAACTTCTTCAAAATTAAGAACTTTGCTATTTGAAGTATTTTTTTAAGAGACTAAAAAGACAAGTTACAAACTGGGAGAAAATATTTGCAAATCTGAAGATGTTGTATCCAAAGTGTTTAAAGAACTATCAAAACTCAGTAAGAAAACAAATCAGCTGAAAAAAAAAGGAAAAAGTTTGAACAGACCCTGCACCCAAGATCTATGCATTGAAAATAACATGAAAAGATGCTCAAAATTTTTAGTCACTAGAAATGCAAATTTAAACCACAAGGATATATACCATTATGCATAAAAGTCTAATCTTAAAAATAGTGACCACGTAAGGTGGTGGGAGAGAATATAGAACAACTGGAACTCCTAAACTGCTGGGGAGAATATAAAACAGTAAAACTGCCTTGTAAAAATAGTGTGTCAGTTTCTGAAAAAGTTAAACAAAAGTGTAAGACCCAATCATTCTACTCCCAGGTATTGAGATGAAAGCACAGGCCCATGTAAAGACTTACACATGATTATTCAGAGCAGCTTTATTTGAAACACCCCCAAATGGAAACAAGCCAAATGTCTGTCATACGATAAATTATATTCATGCAATAAAATAGCATTCGACAATAAAAAAAACGTAGTGTCTATACTCGACAAAACTGAATTAAATAATTATGCTGAAGGAAAGGAGAGTCAGAAATGTACATACTGTATGATTCCCTTAATATCAAATTCTAGAAACGAATGTATGGTGCTAGAAAGCAGAATCTGTCATGTGCAGTAATAGTATTATAATGCTTATTTTATTTGGGGAAGCTCTTACAGTTCTGAAAAAGCTTCTACCCAAGAGTTTAGATAATAACGTTGGGCTGAGAATCGCTTGTAGAACTATTGACCTGAAAACCGCATTTTCATTTACCAAAATTTTTCCTTTCCATCTTGTAAAAAAGAATGTTGGGCTGCTTCTACTTTGGTTGTTTTAAGATTCAAATCAGTGTGAGCAAGTCAGGAAAGACGAGGCAATCCATGCCACAACCTCACATCATTGTTGGAAGTCCCGTTTTAAAACAAAACAAAACAAAGCAAAGCTAAAACAAAACAAAACAAAATTGGCAATTGGCTGTCAGGTGCAGGTTGGGGGGCGGGGTGGTGGACATCCCTACCCATAAACCCCCGCACACGCCTGCGCCTCCCGGTGCACTGCTCTCAGTGCGGGGGCCCAGCTCTGAGCGCCCGCGCTAGGCCCTAGGCCTCGGCGGCCTAGTGAGCCGGGCAGCAACTCCCGCCTCACCCGGACGATGCTGCAGCGCAGGGCGCGCAAGCGCAGTGTGAAGCTCCAGCGGCCCAGGCGCGTGAGGTAGGTCTCCACAGCGTGCGCCGCGGGCGGAGGGCGGGCGGCGTCGCGGGCGAGCGGCAGGCCCAGCATGTGGGGCCAGGAGCACTGTTTTAGAGCTTCTGTGACAGAAAGTGTGAGGTCAGTAGCAGCCCTTCTGATTAGGTGCTTTGACGGCCCACTGGACGACCATTTTGTCGGCTCCTGCTTGCGGTTTAGTTTCCAAAGGTGGATTGAGGCCCGTTTCCTGGCCTGCTTTCGCTTTCGAGCCGCCTGCCGGTTTCTAAGGGTGATAGACACCCCGATTTCTGGATGTGGAGCCAAGAGGTGAAACCGTCCTCCGGATAGCTTGGGTTGGGACTAGTATTCTTGGCGAGGGTGGGTCACGCTGGCTGTTAGGGGGTGGAATTCTCTCTCCCTGCAACTTTGGTGCCCCTTAAAGCTTGAAAGTCCCTCATAAAATCTGGATTCTTTTCATAAACTCTTCATGAATGGGAAGGTTTGGAACTGCCATTTGGTTATTTAGGGTGCAGAAAAGTGAGTGCAGCTTCAATTTCTTGGTAAACATCGGGGGGAAAGTCATTTTGACGCCCTGTATAATAGGATTTTAAAAGCAACGATTCTAGAAGTAGCTTCTTAGAATGTGTGGAGGGGTTCCCAAAGCGAACATTTTCATTTTTAAGAAATAAATCAGTTTCTTCCAGAGAAATAGGGCCTCCCTGTACATTCCCATTTGATTGTACACGTTTTTGCTCAATTAAAAACTTGGAGATTGTATTGGAGGAAGTATCCTTTTTTTGAAGATGTTTTAAAGCTACTTCAGTGTATTTGGAAAAAGTTTGTAAGCTAAGAAATC